ATGCAACTTAGAAAGGAAGAAATAAAACTTTATTATCAGATGACATGACTCTCTATGTAGAAAATCCTAAGGAATCCTCAGTCCATCAATCAATCAATGAGCCTTCTACCAAAACTAAATGAGTTCAACATGGCCGTAGGGTACAAAGTAAAGAAACAAAAATTGTATTTTTATTCATTACCAATAAATCATTAAAAACTAAATTAAGAAAACTTTTCCATTCATGATAGCATCAAAAAGAATAAAATAATTCAGAATAAATGTAGCAAAAGAAGTACATTGTTGAAAGAAATTAAAGAAGATCTAAACATATAGACATTCCATGTTCATGGATTAGAAGGCTCAATATTATTAAGATAGCAACACCCCTCAAATTGATCCATAGATTTTACGTAATCCCTATTAAAATTCTAGTTGTCTGTTTTTGGCAGAAATTGACAAGTTGATCCTTAAATTTATGTGCAAATGCAAGAGACCCAAAATAGATGAAACAATGTTAAAAAATAAGAGAAATAGAGGACTTACACTTCCCAATTTTAAAACTTATTATGGAACTATTGTAAACAGTTATGGCTGGGTGCGGTGGCTCACACCTGTAATCCTAGCACTCTAGAAGGCTGAGGCAGATGGACTGCCTGAGCTCAGGAGTTCGAGACCAGCCTGAGCCAGAGTGAGACCTCGTCTTTAAAAAAAAAAGCTGGGCGTTGTGATGGGCACCTGTAGTCCTAGGTACTTGGGAGGCTGAGGCAAGAAAATCACTTAAGCCTAGGAGTTTGAGGTTGCTGTGAGCTATGATGCCATAGTACTCTACCAAGGGCGACAAACTGAGACTCTGTCTCAAAAAAAGAAAAAATTTCAGTTATAAGATGAAAAACTTCTAGAGATATAATGTATACCACTGTAACTATAGTTAATATATTACATACTTGAAAATTGCTAAGAGAATAGATGTTAAGTGTTCTCACACATACAAAATATAGTAATTTTGTCTACAGATTAATATATAAAGTAGCTTGATTGCAGGAATCATTACACAGGTATATTTATGTCAAAATATCATGATTTACACCTCAAATATATATACTTTTCTGTTAAGCATACTTCAATTAAGGCTAGGAGAAAACCCCCAAACAAATCAGTGTGGTACTGATGCAAGGACTGACATATAGAAAAATGGAATAGTGTCCTTACATACGTGGTCAATTATTTTTTGACAAGGGTGTCAAGAATTCAATGGGGAAAGAATAGTCTTTTCAACGAGCAGTGGTGGAACAACAATATAGGTACATGCAAAAGAATCAAGTTGAACTTCTATCTCATATCATCTATAAAAATTAACTCCAAATGGATCAAAGACCTAAAACTCTTAGCAAACACACGAGTAAATCCACGAGCTTCGGCTAGGCAAAGATTTCTGAGATACAACACCAAAGGCACAAGTTATAAAAGAAAAAAAAAATTGGATTTCATAAAAATAAAAAACTTCTGTTGTTTCAGGAGGTACCATCATTAACGTAAAAGACAAGCCACAGAATGAGAGGAAATATTTGCAAATCGTGTATCTGATAAAGGTCTTTGACCCAAAATATATAAATAACAACTCAGTAATAAGATGACAGATAACTCAATTAAAAAATAAGCAAACTATCTGAAGTGATATTTTACAAAAGAAGATATATGGATGGCCAATAAAAAATGAAAAGATGTTCAGAATTATTAGTCATCAGAAAAACAAATCAAAACTACAATGAGATACCCCCCTCACACCCACCAGAATGACTATAATAAATTAGATAAACAGTAAGAAGTGTTGGTGAGGAAGAGGAGAAACTGGAACCCTCACAAACTCTGGTGGAAATGTTTAATGGTGGAAACATTGGAAAACAGTTGGGCAACTCCTCAAAAAATTAAACTTAGATTTTAACCTTTGAAGCATGACTCAGCAATTTCACTCCTAAGTTCCAAGAGAACTGAAAACACGCGTTCACACAAAAACTTGTACTTATCTTCACAGCAGCATTATTTATAACAACTAAATACTGTTCTGTGTTTACTATGATTCAATTATAATCTGGGGCTGAGTATAGGAGTGAGGAGTTGCCTACAAAACACAAGGTATCCTTTTCAGGGTAATGGAAATTTTTTAAAAACTGGAATGCGGTAATGGTTACACAACTCTGTACATTTTCTAAAACAATAATTGAGTTTATCCTTAAAATGTGAATTTTATGGTATGTAAATTACACCTCCTTAAAGCTGTTTAAAAATATCTATGAAACCATAATGCCGTTTTAAGTGTAATTCTAGTTTTATACATCTTACCTCAACCAAACTTTTATAAAATAGGGCAACCCTGATTCTCCAAGACAATGTGGCAGAGGCCTCCCAAATCTTCTTTTTTAAATTTTGAGACAGGGTCTCCTTCTATCACTTGGGCTACAGTGCAGTGGTATCATCATAGCTCAAACTCCTCTTCTCAAGCTACACTCTACACTCCTGCCTCAGTTTCCTGAGTAGCTGGGACTCGGTGCCACCATACCTGGCTAATTTCTAATTTTTTGTAGAGACAAGGGTAGAGGTAGGAAGTCTCACTAGGTTGCCCAGGCTGGTGTCCAACTCCTAGCCTCTAGTGGTCCTCCCAGAGTCCTTGGATTATAGGCATGAGCCACTGCATCTGGCTCCCTAAATCTTAATAAACTCAATGATTTCAAAGACTATAAAGAAATGAATCAAGATTTATGTTATCTAACAGTGGGAAAGGTGTTTGGCTAAAATAGCTTAAGAGGCTGTTACCAATCTAAGTGTTAGTATTGAACCCCTCAGGCGACTGTCTGGTCTCTGCCCTTGTGGCCATCTTAAATTGCACTGTCAGTTTTATCATCTTGAAATACTCCTGTCCTAAGGTGTCCCTCCTGTTCAAAAGCAGGTACCCCTTAATTTTGACAATTTTAGCACTTCATGTAAGTTCTTGAGCTTTTTTTCTTTTTCTTTTGTAACCAAGGTTCCCAAATGAGGTTTCTGCTGCAGTCAAAGCCAAATCTTTCTTAGGTTACACAACCTAACAACTCACTCACTACCTGAGATGTCAACTTCTCTTCTTTTTCATCTGAAATTTGGGCCATTGCTTAGGCCAAAATTAGATCTTAACCCATAATTTGTGAAACCTTGCCTGAATAATTCATCTCACTTTGATCTGAGCTCCTGAAGTACCTGTAACAGTCTGTAACAGTCATTTGGACATTAAGAACCGTCCAGAGCTTTTTTTGGTTTTTGTTTAGAGACAGAGCCTCACACTTTGTCCCCCTTGGCAGAGTGCCATGGCTTTATAGCTCACACCAACCTCAAATTCTTGGGCTAAAGTGTTTCTGTTGCCTCTGCCTCCCAAGTAGCTGGGACTACTGCTATTTTTTAGAGTCCGGTGTCTTGCTCTTTCTTAGGCTGGTCTCAAATTCCTGTGCTCAAGCAATCCACCCACCTAGGCCTCCCAGAGGGCTAGGAGTACAGGCGTGAGCCATCGCACCTGGCCTGTCCAAAGTTTTAATTTAAATGTTCTGAGGCTCATTTGCTCTTGAGGTAGAGTAAGACCTTCTTGAGGAATTATATTTTATTATTTTATATACCTCTATATAAATTAACAGAGGCCACTCAAGTAATAGTGATTTTTGTTTATCAATATTTTTCCTATAGTTTTATATTTTAGCTTTAATACAAAATATCACTTTGAAAATACAAATGCTGAATTTCTTTTTGGAGAATTTATCCTTATATTAATTACCTGCTGATTCTGCTTCAAATATTAATAATACATTTTGTTTGGTCATTAGCAGATTTGTCTCTGGATTTCTTAATCAACAAATACACACAAAGTTTGGGTCCAAAGCCAACTCTAATTTTCTCATTCCTTTAAAATGTTCTTCTAAATCCACATTTAAGCAACAATAAGAAGAAAGCACAGTTTCTTAAGTAGAAAATAATTTACAATTAATCTTATCATCTTGGTTCCTTTACCTTTTAAAAATCCACTGATAATCTGGGGATGATGCTTTCCATCCTCACACTAAAGAGAAAAACGCCTTCTGAAAACTCTTCGTCCTGCCACTCTTAGACTCTGCCTGTATTTTCTGTTTTTCCTGACACTGTCTCCTTTAAAACTAGCGAAAAATTCGGAGAAGTTCCTTTAACTTTCAAGTCTCCAACTACGTCGTAAAATCCTTTGTCAGTTTATCCAGTCGGCTTGAGATGCTCTCCATTTCTTTTTCAAGAGAATCACACAATTGTTTTGGCAGCCCGATTTGCCATTTTCGCTCCCGTTGTATCAGTTCCGTGATTCTTTGGACGGATTGATAAGAACGGAAAAAAAGTGGGGAAGTCCCAAACTAAATTCCCGCAGCCTTTTCCCGTAAA